AGGCTTTCAGTTCTGTCACTGTCCAAGTGGCTACTTAGAGCTTTTAGTGTTGTTTTCTTTAAAAAAAAAAAAAATTTAATAACAAAGCAGACTGTGAACTGCTCTCTTTGTTCACTAAGTACAAGGGTATAATAAGATGTGTTAGTTCCTATAACACATGAAATATTTTATTGGATATTTTAGGTTGAATGATAGTTTCCCCCAAAAGATATGCCAAACCTCTAGTGCTTAGAATGTGACTTTGCCTGGTCGTAGGGCCACCACTGATATACTTAGTTACTGCAGATGAGGTCATACTGGAAGAGGGTGGGTCTGCAGTCTGATATGACTGGTGTCCTTGAAGGAAGAGGACAGAGACACATGTAAGTGGGAGACTACCACAGACACGCAGAGAGCACTGGGGGACAACAGAGGCAGGGGCTGGAGTGCCGCAGCTCAGGCCAAGGAGCACTAGGGATTGACAGCCTCCCCCAGAAGTGAGGGAGAGGCGAGGAAGGTCTCTCCCTCCAGATCTCGGAAGGAGCACAGCCCCGCTCATGCTTCATTTCGGACTTTGGCCCAGCAGACCATCCGATAGCAAACTTCTGGGCTGGGAATCCACCTAGCTGGTGGTGGTTCATTACGCCACCTTAGGAAGCCAGCACACTGTATATGAATAACATCCTTAAAGTTCACATCTACTCCTCCCTTTAAAAATTGCTCTTTCCCTTATTTGTTATTACTAACTTTAGCACATGAGCTTGAGCCCTTGTTAAAAGTTCACTAGCACAACTACTATCAGTTTATTACTTTTTCTTTTTGTGTACCATAACATTTATTTCATATTTAATTTAAAAACTTTATTGGCATAGCTGTATAAATATAGGGGCTAATAAGAGCCATTCTCTCCACCTGTCTTTCTTTTCCAGCTATTATCACTGTGTGCTTCATTTTGCATTATTAAGCATGATATTGTCACAGAGGAGGAGGGTGTTAAAATGACCCACAGTGAGTACCAAGTGTGCTTTGTACCAACTGAGCCCAGTTCCACTGTGTGGGGATTGTATGGCTTTCAGGATGTTCCTTAGTCTCCCTGAAGCAGTTTCCTTATGTTAAGAATGGGGCTCATTATACCCATCTGAAAGCCGGTTAGAATTAAATGAGGTGATGTACATCGAGGTTCAGCGCTCTGCTTGGCATGAGGGTGCAAAAACTCTGACCTGCCCTCATGGCAGAGCTGTTATTTTATGACGCAGGGTGTGGCTTCTCTAGGAGGAGCTCCATGCAACAGTGCACTCTTGACTGCACTGTCAGAGCAGAGGGAATGAGCTGTGTGGCTGAATCTCAGACAAGACAGAAAGTTTCTACACACAGGGTCCCTTTGGGGAATGGGTATTTAAATCTGAGTTCCCTTTCAACCTCTCCTTATGTCTTAGTTACTTTTCTCTTGCTGCTGAAACAAAATACTGGACATCCAAAGTTAAAAGGGGAAAGGTTTATTTAGCTCACAGCTTGTGGAGGTTTCAGTCCATAGTCAGCTGGCTCCAAGGCAGGGTGGCACATGGCAGAGGGGCAACAGTTCATGGTAGGGAAAGACACCAAAAGCAACAAGAGCAAAAGGGGAAGACAAACCTCTTTCTTTCCCCCATAGTGTAGCAGGATATCAGTCCTAGGGCAGGTGTAGCTATCACTCTTAATCCCAGCACTGGACCACGAATCAGTCACAAGCTCTAGATTCAGCTGCCTCCAAATCCAGCCTTCCAAGACCTCATGAGGCTCTGGAGGGACATCTCGACACAAATCATAACATCTTAGTATACCCTTAGTAGCTTTGGTACAATTTTAGCCTTCAAAGGCCCATGTGGCCTGACAGACATCATAGGTAGATAAACAGGAATGGGGGCCTTGAAGGAGCATGGGGTCATGGGAAGAGGGTCATCACCAGAAGAGGGCATTTTCCAACCACAAGATTCTTTCCAGAGTACACACTTGGCCCACAGTGGAACCACTCAGAAGACAGTTCAGGAAGCTCTGGGTAGAGATCCCAAACACCTGCCCTGAAAAGATTGAGATTGGGAATCCAGGACTGGTAGGCACTGGTCTAGAATATTGAAGCTAGAATAATAGTAATGATAACAATATGATGAGGATGATTAAATGGAAAATTAGGTTTTTACTGTATGCTAGGTACGGTAAGACATATATATGAATACACACATATATGTGAATACACACATATACATGTATCCCTTAATACACCCTTATAACCTATACACATCCTCCTGTAGATTTTTAATTACCTCTAGATTACATATAAACCTAATATAAAGTAAATGCTCTAAAAGTGGTTGTATTGCTTAGAGAAATAATGACAAGAGAAAAGTTTGTACATGTTCAGTACAGATGAATTATTCTTAAAATAATACTTCCAATACACATTTGATTGAACCCCCAAATACAGAATCTAACATATACATATGTACACACATACAACATTATGTATAATACATGATAGTATATATTATGATATGTATATATATATATATATATAAATTGAATACTGTCAACAGCTCTGTGAAATCATTATTCCCACTTTACAGATGGGTAAACTGAGCCCCAGAGGGGTAAGTGCAGTTCCCAGGGTCCCCAGGCTGGTGGGCAGCTGAGCCCGGGCACAGCCTGACTTCAAAGCCATTGCCATCCTGGGGGGCACACAGAAAGGAAGCATTGGAGTTGCCTATGGCTTGGTTGTTTCCGCTCACCTGGGTGCATGGGACCAGAGGACCCTTTCAGAATATACGCCATGAGTATCTCCCATCTCCCAAACATCACAAGAGGTTTCTGAAAGGGCATCGAGGCAGCAGGTGGTTCCATGCAGATTGCCGAGGGCCTGAGTTTCACCATCGTCCTGGGCCCTTTGCACATTTTCCTCTTGGAACTTCGGTCTTGCATTTCCTCAGCCCCCAGAGCCATGAGCCCATGCTGGGTAGAGGCCGGGCAAGGTGCAGAGTTTCACCTGTGAGGAGACACCTTGAGGAGGCTGGGGGACAGTGTGGAGGAGGGACAATGCGACTACCCAAATGGCCCCCCTGCCCGGTCTCCCTTGGCACTACCATCACTTTTGCCAACAAAATGAGCAACGCTCTGGGTCCATGTGGCCCTGGCCCTCAGCCCTCGGCCCTCTCATGGCTCCTTCTGCCCTGCAAGGCAGAACAAGAGCAGTGTTGTTTTCCTGCCCCATCCCAGGTTAGCACTTTGCCCTCAGGGTCATTGTCAGAGTCTTCTCTGGCCTCCTTCTGTGAGGTTCGCATCAGCCAGTTGCATTGCACACATTCTCATTTGCTTTCCACAACTTGTTAGGAAGGACTTTGGGAAAGGCCCATCCCATACCCAAGGAACCCAGCATTCAGAGAGGGTAAGTGTGCTGATAAATGGCAGAATTGGAGCTCAAGCCTTGAACTCAGGTCTCCCTGACTTCAAACCTCAGGTTCACACTGACTTTTGGAACTGTTTAGGCCAAGAGTGACCCAGAAGAAAAGAAATACATTATATATCCATTTAAACTTTAAAGCTGTTTTCAGAAGTCTATTAACTTTTCTTTCAACAATAGAATAATTATAGCGAAAGGGCTACATCAAGTTGTTGCATGATGTGGAAGAAAGTTTTAGAAGAAAGTTCCAGAAACTTCTGAACTATTTTACATGAGGAAGCGAAACAGAGGATAACAGCTTTATGGGACTCCTGACCTCTGACTTTCTTTCTAAATAACGCTTCCTGGGGAGCCTTTGAAGCCTTTGAAAAATTGCTAAGGCCTTCAGGGTTTCCTGGTGCACAGCTGAAAATCCACAAGCTTTTGTTTTGAAATTTTTTTGACATTTTCCCTTCCTTAATGTCCCCTGTACTTAATGTCATTATCAGCTTCTTCTTTAGCAATTCTATGATTGTGATATTTAAGAAACCTGTACGTTTGAAAAGAACAAACAGAATGAGTGACTTAACTGCATATGGGGTGAAGAAGGAAATATTTCCCTATACCTATGTACAGCTAAGCATATATCTATACCTATATACCTGTATACAGCTTTGTCATTGTCAAGAAAGCTCTGTTGTGGCGACAGTTGTCTTGGTATTGGTGCCTGATGGCTTGAGACCCCACATTAAGCTCTATCTATGCTCACAGAACCCGAAACTAGGGGATTAAAATACTCCGGATGTTTATTTGTGTTTTATCTAAGGTTTCTGGCTTATATCAAGACTAATATTTTCCTAGGTGAAAAATAGCTGTGTTACTACTTCCTGGCCACCCCAACCCCTCTTATCTGGAGATGGTTACCTTTCTTTCTCCCTCTTCAAACTTTGTCAGAGCCTCTCCATTTTCCTCCACTCTGGAGATGTTCCTAAGGCTGTATAACTTCCTGGTAGTTATTTTAAGCAAGACTTATTGGGTTGAGAGCTGTTTTAACTGGCTTAGAGCCTGGTGCTGACATATAATATAATATTGAATTCACTGTAGGTCTGCTCTGTGGGCTTTAATATCTTGCTTTTACTGTTCCCAATTAATGAGCATATAGTTTTCTTTTTGTTTTTTTGGTTTTTTTTTTTTTTTTTGGTTTTTCTTCTGGTACCGGGAATCGAACTCATGACCTTGCGCTTGCCAAGCAGGCACTGTGCCGCTGAGCTAAATCCCCAGCCCCTCTATTTTTCTATATAATATAAGCACTGCTATTCCTAGACATCCCATAAAGCTGCCCAGCTGAGCACTGACCTTAGAGACAGCACTTTCAGGATGAGACTGCCTTGCTCTAGTGCAATATTCCATTTTTCCTTCCTATTTTCCTATTCCCATCCCTCTCCTCCTTAGCTCCTACTGGTGTAATCTCCCTTTATAGGCTGCCTCTATTTGTCTACAACACGCTGGTACAAACTGAGTGACTGGTAGCTTTTGTATTTTTGGTGAGCTTGCAAGTATTCTGGTAAACGTTCAAGATAGTAAAGTTGCATGAACTAAAATGTTCTCCCAGCAGGCGGCACTGTAGGCTTCTGGAGGCTCTGGAAGCTACGGTTTGAGGCCCACATGCAAGCCCTCTACCGGCTATTATTCAGAAAGGAACTTTCTGCTTTCTTGATGTTCAAGGACAGAGTGATGAGCCCAGGACTTCATCTTGGAAGCCGACAGCATTATCCTTCCACAGACAAGGCTGTCAGCCGAGGCTACGTGGGAAATAGGTTGAATGCAACTTTCCTAAGTACTGCAATCCTGAGGAAATAAAGTTAACCAGAAGTATGAACTGAGAACAGTCCTGGTGAAGCCACAAACCTCAGCCTCAGACATGTGTGTTGACACACCGCTGACTAAGAGGGAGACACAACGAACTGAATGAAGTAAACCAAGTATTTCATATAAAGATAGTACAGTGGTTCTTAACTGGAGGTATTCATCCAAATCACATGGAGAGCCTAAAACAAGAAAACGTTCCTTGATCCCACTCCAGAATATTCTGATTGGGTATGTCTGGGCGGGGTGCGAAAGTCTATATTTTCGTAATTTTCATAGATGATTCTGCTGTGTACTCCTAGCATCTGGTACTATAGGGCTTTTCTAATTACTTTTTTTCCATCCAGTTTGTGGGTGTAATGGGAAGAACAGGCCATATCGATGCAAGCTTTCATGTTTCTGACTCAGCTCATACATAAAAGCAGCTAAATTGCAAAGGTGGACTAATTGCCCAAGTCAGAGACCGGACTAGTCCACACTACAGTTAGGTGCTCAGACCTCCCTATATCCATGTCTTTCCTCCCCCGCGCCCCAATCAGTGTGCAGAACCATCACTATTGTTAGGGTCCTTACATTCTTCAGTAATCACCTACAATGTAGTGATATCCTTACCAGGATTAACTTGTTCCTTTCCTAAGCTTTGTCAGTGTTAAGAAATTGAGCATCTCTTATTTTATAGTCTAAGACGTAGCAATGAATCTTAAAACAGTGCTCATTCAGGTCACTAATTATTTAATGACTTGGGAATCATAGACTCCTCAAAGGAATAATTAAGTCTCTTCACAGTAAGAGGAAAATAATATATGGACATTAGTGGTTGTGTTTCATTTTATTACAGGAAGAAAGACTCTGAAAAGGCATAGATCCTCTGAACATGCGGGGCAGATGGTCTCCCTTGAGCACCATCCAGCTGACATCTGTTAAAACATGAGAGGCAGCCAGTTCCTGGTCTGACACTGTCACCTTTGTAAAACTGCTAGTCCCTGTGTCTTCCTCTGCTCTTCCCACTGGATGCCCTCTCATACCCTGCACAAGGATGTCCAATGTCAGCTTCTCCACAGCTCCTAGCAGTGCCTCTTAACATTTTGGTCCCACCTCTCCTGTCTGTTTATGCTGTCAGTGTCTGTCTTTCCCTTGGACTTTAAGCTCCCTGAAGATAGGGACTCCCACTCAGTCCCTTAGCTTGAATACTTGAATAAATTAGTCAGTGGTGAAAGATAAGACTAACATATTTGTATGATTTTCATCATCTGCATGGAGTATGGGTGGTCTTTTACGGATTATGTCTTGCAATAACCCCCTACCTCCCAATATCTTACAGATCAGCCAAGCAAATATTTAATTTTGCCAGTAATATACATCTGTGCCTTAAACATTGCCAGTGCCTGTGGGCCTCTTTGAAAACACAAAACATCCCTCTTGGAATAAGTATAATTAACAACTTTTTTCTTTGCAGGCAGTAATGGTTCAGAATGGTTTCATGAACCATACATGGAGAATACAGAACAAGAAAATGTCACTTCACATCCTAAAAAGAGTACGTTTTGATACAAAGGGATACAACAGCTGGATTATGACCAGTAGCATGTCCAAGTTGGAGGAGAATTCAAGCCTTCATTTTGCAGAAAAGCAACTAATCCTCAGAGAGGGAGAGGATCTCTCCCAAGGTCAGCATGGGGACTTCACAACCTATTTACAAAACTATTAAACAGTGACATAAACAATGCCCTTGTGTTGTCCATTGTGTGGCTGGCAAGGCCAAATTCCCCAAGGTCAGAGTTTTGCTTAGTGCTCTGCTGGCTGTACATGGGATTCTAAAGAGCTTTTTTTGAAAACCAGTGAGACTGTACCTTTAACATGAGCCTAATTTTTAAACAAATGTTCACAGGTGATTCTGGTGCATGTGAAGGTTTGGGAACTACTTTTCTAGGTTATTAGTATTGTTCATATAAGCTAGCACAGATTTTTTTTTTTAGCACATAAAAGGACCTTAGGTATAATCTGAATCCTCTTAATTTTCCCTTTGAATTATAAGAAAGTTATATATGGACTATCCACAGTCTACTTTCTGAAACAAACTTAGAAATCAGAAAAATGAAAGACTACATAAAATAGAAGCATCCTAATACTACATCTCAGTGTCCTAGACCTAGAGGAGAAAATAAATTAGACCTACAGAAGTCAGTAGCTTTCCTCAAGTCACGCAAGTAGTTTGTAACACAGCTGGGACTGAATCTGGGCTCCCTGTCATCGTTCCAAAAACACTTTAGTTAGTAAATCTTGGTTTTAAGAGGTTATAAAACAATGCATACATATGATTAAGAAATCATGAAAACCCTGTATGTCAAATGTGTGGAACAGCTAAAGAAGTAATATTAGGTAAAATTATAGCTTTTATGGCTTGACAGAAAATTTTTAAATGTTAGAAATCACAAGCTATTAAGTTTGGGCTTAAAGTTTTCTCAGTACAGAGAGAACTGCAACCTCACTTCATGTGTGTCTTAGTTACTTTTCTCTCTTTGGAGAGAAAATACCCAGAACCCAAAGGTTTATTTTAGCTCACAGTTTGTAGAAGTTTCAGTTTACAGTTGGTTGGCTCCAAGACAGGTTGGCATGGCACAGCAGCACTGCAGAAGAGAAACAGTTCATGGTGAGCAGAAAGCAGCAAAACAGCAAAGCAGCAGCAGCAGCAGCAGCAGCAGCAGCAGCAGCAGCAGCAGCAGCAGCAACTTTCTTCTCCCTTTTAGCCCTTCCAGGCTTACACTCAGGGTGGGCCTGCCCATTATCCATACCCAGAACTATGCCAAACCAATCAGTGGACTAATTTAGCAATCACACAACCTTAATCCCAGGATCACACACTTAGATACAGCCGTCTCTGAAATGCCCCAGCTATGCCTACACGAGGCTTTGGGGCAACATCTAGACACAAACCATAACAATGTGTAAGCAGACTGTGACGTCCTATGGCAACAAGTAGCTGACCCCTAGCCAATTGCAAACAGACAACTGTTCAAACCGTGTTCAACTAAGACAGTCATAAGCAGTAACCAATGGGCTGTCTCCATACCTCACTTCTGTTTTCTGTATCTCACTTCCTTTTCTCTTGACTATAAATATAACCTGCCTGTGTGGGCAGGGGATGGAGTGGGAGTGTGAAGCGACAGGCATTTTGAACCACTTGTATTCCATTTGGTGACAAATTCTGCCATCACAAACAAAGCCAATTAAGATCTATAAAATTAGACTTGCTATAATTTTGTTGTGTAACACCATTAAACTCAAGAGTTTGGAAAAAGCAATGGAACAGACACAAAGAAACATTATAAATGGAAACCAATTAAAGACAGAAATTAATAAGACTAAAGAGGGAAAATGTCAAGAGAGATTAATAAAACAGCAACCAGATTACATAAAAGAATACTAAGACAGGTATAATGGGAAAAGGAAGAAGATGCAAATGTACAGAATACATAATAAAAAGGAGAAATAGCTACAGACACAGTGCTGTTTATAAATTCTTAAAGGTTATTATTTGTGCATATATATTACTGAACTTGAAGACCTGCATCAGTCAGGTAAATTCCCCAAAAAATATAAAATGTTTTTTGTTTTTTGTTTTTGTCTTTCTGAGACAGGGTCTCTCTGTGCAGTTCAGGTTAGCCTTGAGCTCACTTTGTAGTCCAGGCTGGTCTCGAACTCATAGTGATTCTCCTGCCTCAGCCTCCTAAGTGCTGGGATTACAGGTGTGTGCCACCACACCTTGCCAAAAAATATAAAATGTTTAAAGGAATTAAAATGTACCAACTCCACACAAGAAATGTAAATATTATGTACTGTAAATATTATGTACTCTCAATGTGTACTAATAAAAAATGCTTAAACATTGGCACAAAGCATTTTTAAAATTGTGGACCACTGAGTACACAAGACTTTTAAGTGGAATTAAAAATTGTCCTTCTCAAAGCAAATTATATATACACCATGATAGGCAGCCTCTGAATGGGCTCTTGTAATTTCTCCTTGTGTGTCTCCCACCCATGCCCTATGTAATCTCTTCCCCTTGAGTGTGGGCTGAACCTATTAACTTGTGGTTATCAAAAAAAAAAAAAAAATGGCAGAGTGACTGGATGTCACTGGCAAAATTATGTTACAGAGACACTGTGACTTCCATCTTGCTGTCTTACTCTCTTTTTATTCCCCTCATAGCCCAGCTCTGGGCAAAGCAAGATGCCATGTTGCTAGTGTGTCTTGTCTTCGGCCACCTGTACTAGTAACTATCTAGTTGAGGATGGAAGTGGGTTTTAAACGCCTTCCCAAAACCACATGAATGGGCCTGGCAACCGAGCTTCCTGGGTAGATGCCTGATTGACACATCAATGGCCACTGTGGAGAGACTGAGTCAGAAACAACCAGCTAAGCTTGCTCACAAAAAATATGATATAGGATGTGGTGTTTCAGGTCATTTAAGTTCTAGGGTAGTTTGTTACATGCCAATGTGTAACTCATACACACACACATACACACACACACACACACACACACACACCCATAAAGGCAGACAGAAAGCTTCTTAGCTCATTTGTGAGGTCAGTATCATTATTCCATCATGATGGTGATAAAATGTAATGCAAACATGCATAGATCTTAGGTGAACAATGAAATAAATACTGCACTGGCAAGTGCTTGCTCCCTGGGAGGCAGTACAATGAAACTAAATGTATCTGCTACCCCAAGAAAATTTTTCCAAGTTGTTGTCCATCAATCTGCCTTCTCATAGGCACTTACTATTCTGATTTCTTACCATAAGGTATTTTTATCTGTTCATCAAAAGAAACCATGTAGACATATATCCTTTTGTGTCTGGCTTATTTTGCTCACACAATGTTTTTATGATTAGGCCACATTGTTGCATGCATAAGTAGTTTATTGGGTTGTTTACCACTATATTCTAAATAATTTATTTATCCAATTTGCATTTAAATGGATATTTGCTTTGTTTTCATATTTTGGACTATAGTAAATAATGATGCTACAGATATTCTCTTACAAATCTTTTTGTAGATGTTTTTACTTCTCTTGAATAAATTCCTATGAATAGAATTGCTGAGTTCTAGAGTAAATGTCTATTTAACTTTATAATAAACTGCTAAAACTGTCAGCTTTCCAAAGTGATTAAACTGTTATATTTCTAGCAATAAAATAGGAGAGTTATGTTGATTCATCACCATGTGCTGTTGTCAATCTTTTAAGTTTAATTCAGAACAGCAGTGACCCCAAAATTGTATCTCACTGTGGTTATACTTTTCATTTCCTGTGTGGCTGATAGGAATATTTTTTCATGTGCTTATTTGCTATCCTTCTATCTTCCAATGTGAAGTTCTGTTCTTTTTCCATTTTAAATTTGGGTTGTTTGCATTTTTTATTTATTTATGAGTTCTTTAACCTGGATTCAAGATTTTGTTGCATATATATATATTTTCTCTAAGCCTCTTTGCCTTTTCATTTTCTTAATAGAAATCTAAACTTTATGAGTCCAATTTTTAAAAGGCCAATACCTATTTATGATTTTATTTTTTCCAGTAAGTTATAGATGCAACATGATGTCCTTAACTTGGCAAAGTTTATAGATCCAAAACTTGCAGCAAGCCTTTTATTTAATGTAAAAACTTTGAAAAAAAATCCCTTTAGGTTGTAGTCCATGACCTCCAGGATAGTTCTGAGTAATTCTATAAGAGGAAATGCAAAAAGAAATAAATTGTTGTATTTCAAAGCTATGTGATCATTATCTGTTTAAAAAAATCAACAGAGTCAATGTCCTAGTTAATAGAACTAGATAGTTCAGAAAACTTGCCAACCAAAGGTGACTGAGCCATCAGTACAAAACTAAAATAAGTAATTAGGCACGTGAATAAATAAAATATCATTTGCATAGTCAGAAGAATGTGTAAGATATCTGGAAATTAACTGCGTTTATTTAGGCAAAATCCCAGGAGAAAACAGAAAGAACTCTGAAAATTGGTAATTAGAGAAGAGATTAGTAAAGCAATTATCTGTCAAGGCTGAAACAGTCTTTGGTGAAATACCTTGCAACTCATAACAGCAGGGGCACTGCCACCCTTAGGCCTGCAGTTTTGGAAGTTCTAATTTTGTATTTTGCTTCTGACATCATTCAAGAATGCTGGCTTATTTCCTTGTACGGCTTGTGATTTTTAATGAGAAATTCATATTTCTTAGAACTTTATTTGCAAAAATTCAAAAAGACCAGGATTTAAAATGCCGTTCTGCAGAGAGTTTGACAAGCACCTGTCAAACTAGGACTTTTTTAAACTTAATTTTTCTCTCCATGAGCACTGTGACCCATGTGCAAGCCATCTGTGGTTTAGAACCGTAACAGGAGAGTTGTCTGCCTTTTCTTTTTCCTTCTCCTTCCACTCATAGCTAAGGCTTATCCAGGCGAATATTTGGGGCATCTCCCTGTGCAGGACAGATTTGGGTTCTCTTGCTCGTTGTTTGCTTCTGTAATTCAGTCCACCAACACTGCAGACAGGTGGAGGCCTCCAGGGGAGCTTTCTGACCTGATCTTGTGCCTTGGCGGGGCTCAGTTTGCCTCTTGTGTTCAGCAGGTGCAAAATGCACAGAAATGCCTCTTCTTCCACCCAGCGTTCTGTGGCTGCACCAGCACACCGTGCTCTCTCCTTGGAGCGTCTTTGACAGTTCGATC